TCTGAGCACTTCCCTGCAGGTAAGACCACACCTACTTAAGAGCTTGGGTAGTGGGGAGCCAAGAAGGGGTGCCACGCCAGCCCAGGATCTGAAACGGAGACTATCTGTACCATCAGTCTGGCCCTTGAATTTCTGAGCAGTCTTTTTTTGTTTCTGTTTTTTGCTGGCGAGCTGTGTGTGGAAAGGGTATTAGCCTCAAACCAAGTTAGTCAGAGAACACAAAAGTCCCAGTAATGAGCACTTCATGAGCAAAAGAATGTGTCCTATCTTCCTCCAGGGAAACAAAGCTCAGGCCCCACAGTGCCCTGCTCACTCCCTGGCAGAGGAGCTGGACTCAGTCACTTGGTCTTAGCAACCCCCCTGCTGTCCCAGCTCCTGCTTTTCCAAGGAGGAGAGCATGCACTTTGTTTATGCATCACAGTCAGGTTGCCTGGTTCACTCTGGCTCTCTCCCTGCTCTGCAGTTAGAACTATAAAAAGCAAAAGGCTACAAAAATCAAAGCCAGCCATCTACATAATGAAGCGTTCTTATCACACCCCAGGGAGGCACTGTGTGATAGGAATCAGTGTGCCCAAGCTCTCTACACTGAAAACCTATGACAACACCAGCCTTCTCTCAGGGTCTGGCTATGAGAGCTGGATGTTGTCACCAAATCTTCTGCTCATTTCTACAAAAAGAAACCAAACAACCAACACCACCAAACAGGAATCATTTTCAACACTTCATTCCAGAACATTCACCTGGAACTGAGCATCTCACAGTGGAGAGCAGGTCTTTTTTCAACAGAAGCAACCTGCAGGCGGCTCAGTAAGAGGGCCCCTCAGCAGGGAGGCTGAGCTGCTGTCAGCCCTGACCCTACCATCCCTCTCAGGATGGAATGGCCTGGGCCTTCTAATCTCTTTCCAGATACGTATCTCTCAGGTGTCAAGCGTGAGAGACATCTGTCCTGGAACAAGAGCAAGTGCCCCACTTGGTCTGCTACCCTGTCCACTCTACAAAGATATCCTCAGCCAGGTCGCAGGGCATAGTACAGGAGGGCAGCCTCCTCACTCTCAGGCTCTGTGTGGGCAGGAGAGATACATAGGCTGTGAGTCTGGCATGATCTCCTGGGGGCATGTGGAGACTGTTGAGGGAGGGGCGCCCAAGGGTGCTACTGCCCCAAACAGAACACCAAAGATGGGCTGAACAGGGTCTTGAGGGAACTGAAAAACAAGGCCAGGTATCCTGATGGGACTCATATATGAGACAACAGTGAGAAAGGGTGTGGGCCCTGAACAAGAAGTCAGAATTTTCAGTGAACAGAGACAAGGAAGTGAAATACTGAACGATATTAGTTTAGCGACCTGGCAGTGGGAAGGCTCCTCTGCTGTGTTGTGTTCTGCTGGCTCTGCCTGCTGTGGCACTTGTCCCCACTATTGCTGTCACCAGGCCGTATTCTCCAGGGGCTGTTCCCTGAATCACTACTTAATTCAGCCCTGCCTGTTCTGTTGCTTACAGACATTCACTATTGACAGGCCAGTTCACACTTCTGGGCTCTTTTTAAATAAGGCATAGGAGTAATGAATGATACAGATCCTCAGTTTGAAATGCGCTAACAGCTACCCTGCACATGGACCCATGTCGTCAATCTTGAAGGGTGAATAGGGCCACTGCAGTGTGTTCTTGGAAGCTCAGAAGAAGCAGGCAGTCAGCTGTGCAGAGTGGCTCACCCACACCCGCCAGCTCACTCTTGTGTCACAGGGCCTCAAGATGTTTAAGCTACAAGAGGAAAGAACTAAGACCTGAGAAGCACACCCTCCTTCCCAGTTCCACATTCCTTGGAAAGCAGTGAACACAACCCAGAGAAGCAAATATTTATGCTGTAGTTTAATGCTTAGAGAACCACCAGGAAGGCCAGTGTGTCGTGACGTTTGCAGAGCCTCTGTCTTCTGACAGTGTACATGGTTGGTGTGAGCTTGAACCCTAGAATAAAGTCTGGAGGTTTTTTCCTCTTAGGCTTGCCCTGGCATGGCACTTCCCCCAGACAGAACCACATGAATCCAGTGGCTTGTCACTTGGATTCATGTGCTGTCATTTCTACCCTCCCTTCTAGTTTCCTCTTTACATGTGCCAGTTGACAAAGATTTTGAGTGAAAGGAAACAAACCAGCTTCCTCTGCCTCTAATGACAGTTGGGGGTAGTGGTAATGCTGAAGATCTGTGACCCTGTTATCCTACCATCAAAGTCCAGCGTGGGCTTAACAAGTGCTAGGAACTCTTCTGGGCTTCCAAGAATTGATGAATGTAATTTTCCTAGCAATCACATGCAGATTTTCCTACACTTGGGGAAACTTAGCACAGAGATAGTAGCTTCCTGCGCACCCAGAGACACACATCTGGTAAATAGAAAGACTGCATGCAACTCCTGGCAGCCTGGCTCCTGAGCCTGAATTCTCAAGCACTTCCTTCATGGATAGTTTAGGGATATGTAGTTTCTCTAAGGTCTGGATACTGGTTCATGCTGCCCAATTGAGTTCTCTGCAGAGCACAGGACACAGCTTTCATATAGCAGCACCATCTATTCCGATCCTCATGTTCAGGCTCCCTGTAGTGTGAGTATGAAAGCTATTTTAGGACTTGTATTACCTTGTTTTAAGCACCCTGCTTAGAAGCCCCCAGCTTTCTGAGCGTGAAGCCCTGGTTAGGGACGTCAGTGCTCAGCACCTCCCATTTTATAGCCAGCAGTGAAGGAGAACTGTACCGTGCTGTAGGTGTACCTACTGCTCAGGACCTCCAGGTCCTGCAGACCAGCCAGTGTGAGGACTCACAGTCAACACAGGTGCTAAAGGGTGGGATTGTGTAGTGGGGTCTCATTCTACAGGCTGCCATTGCCTCCAGGCTTCTTTCTGCTCCACCTCTGACTAGGAACTCCTTGGCTGGCAACTTGGTGGCACAGAATACACTGGCCAGGTGCTTCAGTGTTGTTGGGAGATGACCTCTGGGGAAAGACGCTCAAGGGACGTGTGGCTAGAAATTAGAAGGAAATTCTAGACCCCTAGGTGTGTGCTCAGGGCCCAGAAGAGAGAAGGAAACCACCTGACTTGGGGTGAGCACTTCCACAACTTCTAAGTCTGCAAGGAGAATGGTTAGCAGAGGACTCTTTCCTGGTGGTCCTTTGCTCCAAAGCAATACAGATGGAGGGTGGGGGTGGGGGGTTCATGGAAGCCAAGGGGAAGTCCACTGGTAAGAACTGCTTTGGGGCCAGGGCAGTTGCATCTTCCTGTGAGATAACCTCAGCCTTCAGGGTTGTGTGGGCAGGTGGTTCTGCCTTCACCCAGGAAGACATATGATGCAAGCAGCTGTCAAGCAGACAGAGACCCCCACTAGGATCCACAATTTGGGGTTATGCAGACTCCCAAGGCACACTGCTCCTTGGGACCTCCCAGTGCACCTCAGAATGAAAACAACCATCTGTGTGCCCACTGCTGATCATTCCACAAGTGATAATAAGATCTGGCCCCACCCCTTTGGAGGTGGCTACCTTATTACTTGTGCTGGACAGAATGCACAGAACCGTAATGGGTGGCCAGTGATGTGCCCTGGAAGCTCTTCTGACCAGCTCTTGGCTACCCAGCCAAGCTGTCCTCTAGTGGGAGGGGATGGCTCTGTGCTCACTTTAATTCCTTAAAGGCTTCATTTGCACAGCACTCCCACCAATGCCCCAGCACCCTCCCGACACACATGAAGAAGAAAGGCCTCCTAACCATGATGAGGCAGGGTGGGCTCACATGGGCACCACAGTCTTGGTCCCCGATCTCCTTTCTATCCCCAGCTCTGTGATGCATTTGTCAACTGCTCCCTCTTGCTGGGGAAGCAGGTGCTGAGAGACAAAGAGGAGGAGAGGAGAGGCTATAAGCAGAGTGGGCTGAGGTTCTGTCAGCTGCCTGTGAGCCAACCTGAGTGTGGATCACAGTGCTGATCAGGGTTCACAGCTGACTTGAATGAGCACTGTCCTCTTTCTGCCTCAGCAAGGTCAGCCTTTGTACCCTTTCTCCTCTGCTGGTCCTGAACCCACAACCGTGAGATTTCACACAGGGTGCATCACTGCCATGGGAGAGTGTAAGCAGATGCAAAACCAGCCCTGATCTTGTGGTTTCTTCATGAGTGTAATTAAAAAGACAAAGGGAAAAGGAAAGAGAGCACATGTAAGTCACATTACATCATCAATAAATTCTAAAGAGAAAACACTGAAGTGACTGATTAGGACCATCTTGGTAGCCAGAGGCCTTCACATGGCCCTGTAATCACCTATTCCTGGCCAGACTGAGTGAGACAGCCTTGGCTTAGGAAGCCCACCTGCCCTTCCAGGTATACCTATACTTGGGGACCAGGCTGACTGCCATCTCCTGGCACACTGCAAGGCAGGGAAGTGACCCTGAAGCCACCTTGGGCAGGATCTTGAGGTTAGCAGGCAGACTCCCCCAGTGATTGGAGAACTGGGGCTATGTGTGTCCCTGCAATTGCTTTCTGGGGACATTGCACCTGGGGTCAGGGCACAACTGGACTATGTTCCTGCTTACTGTAGAGCTGGAAAGCTACCTGGGAGGTGGCCAGGCCCAAAGCAGGGCAGGGTAGCAGGTCGTCAGGAGAAACCCAAGGCTTTGCCAAGGTGAGCTGAATGTGGTCAGCAGGGGCCTCTGCTTCCAGGGGAAAGGGGTCATGGGAAAGGGGCACTGGGAGTCAGGGCCTGGCCTGAGAAGTGCCCTTGTGTTGAGGGGTGTGGGTGAGAATGAGCCTGGCAGGTCTTGTAGCAATGGTGGGGGAAGAGTTTCGGGGTGGGAGAGGCCAATGATGAGAGCAGAAGGAAGGTGGCCAAACCAGCCAGTGTGAGGAGGAACATGCTTGGCAGGAGAGCCCAGGGGAGGCAACAGTTGGGGGTGGAGGAAGGGGGTGGGGGAGAGGGCCTTCTTGAAAACCTGGGCTTTCACCAGCCCCTCTACGAGGATACAGATGGGTAAAGGGGCTGGCAGGGGGTCTGGGGCAGCTGGGTGGGCAGTGCTTTGTGATGAGGGTGGTTGTCCTAGAGATGATAGTGAGAGGCCTCCAGGGGTTCTGCTGACCTGGACCCCTGTAGTGGAAGGAGGGCAGTAGGTGGAAGGGCCCCAGAAGTTGGGAACTGATCTTGCCATCTGGTCAGCAGCTTCCCAAATGAAAATGAGTGGAACACAAGCGTGTGCCAGGAGTGCTTGGCACCTTCAGCCTTGGCCCAGGCCAAGAGCAAAGGCCCCACCATAGTTGAAAGATGCCTTCTCTGTACTGTTTCTCTACTACGTGAGGGATCTTCTGGAATCTTCCATCCTGATAAACTTGTTAAACTCTGACTTATCCATCATATAGAGACTAAACCTGAAAGGGTACATTGGGGAATTTCTTCTCTGCCTGTAACCTCTTAAACTCCCACCATCTGGTTCTGTGCTCTGATTTCTCATGAAGGAAGTTTCCAGGAGGCCTGGCTAACTGGAAAGACTGCCCAGCCCAGGTCCTGAGGCTGGAGCTGGCGGGTGGAAACCGAGCCATTGTTTCCTACCTACAGGATGTCCTTCTTCCCCAAACAGCCAAGGGAACAGGAAGGAGGGGGAGGACCACAGGGGAACAGGAACCATGAAGGGAGGAGGGAGAGATAAGTTCTGCAGCTCTGCCTGCACAGGCCCTGGCCCCCACGCAAAGCCCCTGTAGCTAGAATGGGTATGGGGCCTGGGCCTTCAGATCCCACTGGTCACATGGGCCTAGAGCACGATAGGACTTCTCTCAGCTAGGGCTTCCAGGGACAAAGGGATAATGGGAGAAAGCATCACTCATTGCCCTGTGACGAGGTGAGGCAAGAACACTTCCTGACTGGATTCAATGAGCTCTGGCAGCCATTGCTCCCTCCCCCAACACACAGGTGTGTGTGGGTTGGGGGCAGCATTTGCTGCTTCACCATCCTGAGGCTGCAGGTCACATCTGCAGGTGAAAGAGTGTCATGAACCCTCACAAGATGCCCAGGTTCTCCTCTGCTTCTCACCATGACTGCAGCGCTGCTTCTCCACCTGCCACAGCCCATCTCAACTTTGTGGACATCCCTGTGGTGGGTGGCAGCAGCCTTGAAGGCCACTAGCCCACTGTGGTCACTTTGCTCCCAAGATCTGCAGGTTATACATTAGCTTCCTGGAGGTAATGTCAGATGAAAAGCAAAGCATGTCATTTTCGGGGGGACTGAAAGTGAATGAAAATGAGTACTATCTGGCTTGTGGTCCTCATGTAAAACAAAAGTTATAGTTACATAAGAAAACTACTTACAAGCTAACTCTAGCTTATAAAGTCCTTCACCATGGTATAGCTGCCAGTAAATAAAAGCAGGAGCCGTGGCCCCCTCTGCTGTGTGCCCTGGCTGGTGTAAACACATGAACTTTCCTTGGCAGTGCTCTCGCAGACCCTGGGGGAAGCCACCCTTGCACGTGAGCGCCAGGAATCTAAACAGTGCTGCTCCACGTGACGTTTCCAGGAAGGCTCTTCCTGCCCCACTTCTGGCAGTGGGAGTCAGCAGGCTAGGCAGATGCAGTCTCCACTCTGGTGCACAGGGTGCAGCTGTCTGCAGCATGGACCTTGCTGACACCCACCCTCCTGAGGCTGCTCCCAGTCCCTGTGGACACTGCACAGGCAGACGCTGCCTGGCAATGTAGGTGGAGGCTGCAGGAACAGCCCTCTTTCTGGTCCTGCATACAGCTGTACCTTCAAAGGGCTGCTGTCTCTGGGTCTGACGTGAGGGCGGCCAGGAACTTTCTGGTCCGACTTTTGACTGGATTTACAGAGCCCTAGCAGCCACAGCTTAGTTTCCACAAACGTCTATTCAGTTTGTTTCCTCAGGGGAGCAGAATTTGTAACTGATCTCCTCAGCCATTCTGAGTAGCAGGACCCTGAGTCTGTGCCAGACCCACCCCCACTCCCTCCAGGACACACTGGGAGCCGGATGTACACAGGAGGGACTGAGGGGAAATGCCACTGCTGCCTCGATGTAAACCAGTCAGCCCTTGGGAGCCTGGACACTTACCAAGCCAAGCGTGAGAGGATGTGAACACGCTTGATCTGGGAGCACCAGCCCGTCCAAGCATGACCTCTCATTTCTTGAAACCGACTGTAAACAGTGGTGGGGAGGGGCAGCTCTGCTGCCAAGGGAGGCAAGAGGCGCGTGAGTAATTTGCTGGAGGAAAACAAGTGTGGCGTCTCCTGGCACGAGCCTGCAGCAGCCTCACACACACACCCGCACCCATGCCTTCTGGCTGCAGTTGAAGGGGCTGGTGGGCTTTCAGAGGCACAGGACAGTCCCTCTGCTCTGCAGTGGTGTGTTGGCTCTGCCATGCTGCCCGAGTACAGCATTTGCAGTCTGTGGCCTCACAGAATGTGGGATGCAAAGTAAAGGTAAGAGCCAATGGCTGGGGCTGGTGGGTGGCCAGGAGAGCAGCCACTGTAAGCAGGAGGGACAGAGTGAGCCAGGCTCTTGACCCTGTCTGTTGGATGGATGTGCCTACCTGTGAGGTCACTAGAGAACATAGCCCCATCACTGCTATGTGGCCCTATTGTGTGTGGCTTTCATAGCTGTTTATCCCAGAGCAAGGAAGGAAAACTGAAGTGGGAATGCGAGGGGACACCCCACACAAAGTGTAGGTCCTGGATGCCACAGGAGGGGCTGGGTCAGAAAGTTCTGGATGCCACAGAGGGGCTGGGCCAGCAGGCTCTGGACACTCGGGCGCAGACATGGCTTACTGACACCCTCTCTCAGTGGCCACAGAATGTGTTGTGGGACTTGTAGCCCATGAGGTCTGGTGGATAGTGGTAGGATTGGGTCCCTACAACACAGGCTCCAGCTCTGTTCAGTGACCACCAAAGCTGTACATTGTGGGAGACAAGCCTGGGGACTAACACACCTGAGACAGCCCTTAATCACAGGTGCTGGCTGTAGGCATTCTGTAGTCAGGAGTTGGGGAGACTCAACAGAGAGAAAAGCAAAAAGGATCAGTTGTTGGGTTGGTCCAGAGATCATAGATGGCATCTCAAGAGGTGATGGTTCTGAGGACACATCAGAGACACTCACACCTTTGTTACCCTTCGCACCCCTGCCACCCCCACCCCATGGGCTCCCTGGCCCTGCCTGGGGCTGGTCAGGATAGTTAAGTAGAAGGGTAGGCAGGATCCTAGTTGGAGTATGGCTGCTGTAGTTTGGGACTTACATTCCCAAAGAGAACGGGGAGAGCAAGGTTGCCCTGTGCCTAGTGGGGCTAGCTCTTGGCATCTTACTGTTTGACATCCTATCTCAACTGTGGGGACCACACATCGGCTCTGCACTATGCCCTGAGCTTGGTGTTCCTCCCATATGCACCTGAGAACTGCAGTCTGGAATCTAGCACAGCACCACATGCCTGAGTCTGGGGCATGCTGACCAAAGCCACCACTGCGGATTGGCCTAGGGGCAGTGTCCCTGGTGCTGTGGAACTTCACAATGCGGCCTGCACTGGGAGTGAGGGGTGGCGCCACAGCAGACTGTTTTCTCCATCATAAACTTTCCTGTTTCTACCCTCAGCCATGCTGCTGGCAGATGGGGGTGGTGGTGGTGGTGGCAAGAGCCCCCACCTCCCACTGCTGGGATCCTGTGTGGAGGTGGGGACTGCAGAGCCTCCTCTGGTGAGGCCCACAGCAGGCGGGATCAGAGCCAATCCCAGTAGCCTGGCTTCCTTGCTTTGTCTCTGAGCTCTGGGAAACAAGACGGCCGGCTTTCAATGGTCTGCCTCAACATTGTCTTCCATTGTGAGAGCAGGAGGTCCGGTTGGGTCAAACTACATTTAAATGTAAGTTTCTTGAAAAAATGTCTGTTTTTTGTAGAGGAGGAATTGTGTTAAGTTTCAGCTTCACCTATCAGTTTCACATTAGGTTATTTCAAGATGTGCTGTGTCCCCAGGCAACCCAGGCTCAGTGTTGCCTGGGCTGACCATTGTGCTGCCAGCCTCTCTCAGTGCTGGCAGACATGAGCACCAGTCACGAGCAGGCTTTAGGAACCATGGTGTTAGTCTGCACAGGCTGGGGAGAGCAGCTCAGTCGCCCTGTGCAGGCATGACAGTTCTAAGACTGCAGAGTGTGCTGGGCTTCCTCTTGGGATCTAGCACTGCACCTTTCTCCAGAGCAGCAGCTCTTCTTGGGGGCCTCGGGGTCCCGCAGCTCAGTGCTAGCGGCCTTTCCAGGTCCGCTTGTGGCCCACAGCTTGTGCTGCATGTGTACACAATACTCCCACCTGCCAGGTGCTTCCTTCTTGCTTCTGCTCGGCAGGTGCCCAGACAGGTACACATATCTGTGTCCCACCAGGTAACACTGTGTTGTCCCTCTTTCCTCCAACTCACAGTAGGTGCTCAGCAATAGCCCACCAATTGGCAGGGGGCCCCATAGCACTGCCAGGTACCTGGGGTCCGGTGAGTTCTGTCCCTGTAGAGCCCCCCAGTGCCAAAAGGTGGCAGCAGCACTCTGCTGGTAGATTCAGGATTCAGGGAATGGCATGGCATTTTGCTTGGGCAGATTCTGTGGCAGTGTCAGGAATGAGTTGTCCAGGACTTAATTTCCTGAGGAAATGGGATCCTGGAGCCTGATCATGGCCATGGGTGTCATAGCAGCCTTACTTGGGACCTTGTACAGTTTCCCAGGGGCTAGTGGTGCCAAGCAAGAGGACAGGGACTGGCTGACTTTGTCCCCTCTCTCCACAGAGCTGCGGAGTCTGGGTGAGGCTGCCATGTGGAGCTGCGGCCCACTCAATGGCACGATGCAGGGCGAGGAGCAGCTGTGCCAGGACTTGCGCCTAGGGCTCTGGGTCCTCTCTCTGCTCTACCTGGTGGCTGGTGTCCCTGTGGGCCTGGGCTACAACACACTGCTGGTGCTGGTGAACCTGAGCAGCAAGAGCAGTATGACCATGCCGGATGTGTACTTTGTGAACATGGCTGTGGCAGGCCTAGTGCTCAGCGCCCTGGCTCCTGTGCACCTCCTGGGGCTACCCCACACCAGGTGGGCACTGTGGAGCCTCAGCAGTGAAGCACATGTGACACTGCTGATCCTGTTCAACGTGGCCTCCCTAGTGACCATGTACTCCACTGTCCTGCTCAGCCTCGACTACTACATCGAGCGGGCCCTGCCACGTACGTACATGGCCAGCGTGTATAATACACGGCATGTGTGTGGCTTTGTCTGGGGTGGGGCGCTGCTCACCAGCTTTTCCTCCTTGCTCTTCTACATCTGCAGCCATGTGTCCTCTCGGGTTGCTGAGTGTGCCAAGATGCAAAACACAGAGGCTGCTGATGCCATCCTGGTGCTCATTGGGTATGTGGTGCCAGGCCTGGCTGTGCTGTATGCCCTGGCACTCATCTCTCGGATCCGAAAAGAGGACACGCCCTTGGACCAGGATATGGGGAGGCTGGAGCCCTGGGTGCACAGGCTGTTGGTGGCCACTGTGTGTATGCAGTTCGGGCTCTGGACACCTTACTACCTGAGCCTCCTGGGACACACGGTGCTGGTCTCGAGGGGGAAGCCGGTGGATGGGCACTACCTAGGGATCCTGTATTTTGTTAAAGATTTGTCCAAATTCCTGGCCTTCTCCAGTAGCTCTGTGACGCCACTGCTATACCGACACATCAACAGAAACTTTCCTAGCAAACTCCGGCGACTGATAAAGAAAATGAACTGTGGACTTCGGCATTGCTCCCCGGATCCCTCAGGGGTCCAGCCAGTGATGGCACAAGCCTAGAGAGTGCCAATGGCAGTAACCGTGCTGGAAGCTTCACTTGCCCCTCACTGGCTGCAGGTCCTGGGAGATGAGCTGGCTACAAGGAAAATCAAGTTCAACTGGATGCGTAGCACTTTGTTACCAGATGCTTGGCGCTTTCTTCTCAAAGACAGACTGCTGCAAGAACAGCACGGGGCGTATTTTCTTGAGGTTTTCTGTTTTCCCCCAAAATGCTCCTCTTAGGCAGGCCATTCTGGGAAAGCACAGGCCTGTTGTATGTGGGAAAGGCAGCCTCTTACCACCCCACCTTCTTCAGAAGATGGTGCATCTCTGCTCAAGACATCTCTCAGTCCGTGTCCTCACAGCGAACTGACCTTCAGCCTCTTCGACACCAGGCTTTTTGAATGAAGTGATAAAATTTAAAGCCAGTATTTATACTTTGTATTGCCATAGTACTTGATTCCCCCCCCCTTGTTTTATAGAAAAATGACAAGTATTAAGATGAAGGAAACAGTACAAAGGAGGCAACATTATTGCCATCTGTTAGCCTGGGTTGAGGAAGGCACATGGCATGGTGTACAGCTGCATGGAGTTGTGGTGGCCCGTGTGTGCTGGCTTTAATGGGTGTAAATGACATGGTAGTTCCTTACCACCATGCATCCTTGCTGCCCTGCCCCTACAGACAGCACCAGCTCATCTCCTTCAGTACTGACCTGTCCCTCTAAACCTCTTTCCCAGAGTGCACACAAACTAAGGAATACACATGAGGTCAGGAAGGAGGGATTCCTAATTTACTACCTAAACATGAGCGACAGGAGGAGGACACGATGGTATGAAGCTAGTTCCCCAAGGTGTCCAGGGTCTGGCATCCACGGTGGTAAGGTGGCCTGTGCACAGCTGCACCAAGGTGTCAGCAGTGGGTCAGCACAAGTGAGGCACTTACCTGCTGCCCTAGTCCTGCTTTTACCAACCTTCATCCCTCAACACCACCCACGTCCTCCACTCCAGTTCTGCAGGATTTAATTATAGGCCCACAGTCCCAAATCCCCAATTCTGAAACCCAGGCAGCTCTGTATGTAGGAAGACTTTCCCCCAAGTGACCACCAGAAGTGATGTAAGGAACCTCCAGCATGCTGCCCTCCTTCTGCAGCATGGCTACTGTGATGGGTGTTCCCAGACCTGGTGTCTCTAACACATGACATGCAGGCCTGTGGCTGGCTTCAGAACACACCTGTGTGCGGTGCAGTACAGTGTGACCCTGCATTCTGGCCTGTTTATGATTAGTGCCTTAAGCGCTAGTCCTAGTCTTTTGGGAAATTCAGCCATGAGTTACCTTGCTTTAGTTGTATTTATTGTACACCAACAGTGTCTCCTCAAATCCTCAAATTGTGATGTACCTGAGTTACTTTTTCTTTGTGAAATATGAAAATACACTGGATGCCCTGGCTTTGGGTCCAAGTCTGCCCCTAGCAGCTGTGATATGTTTGGTGAGCTCCATGGGGCCCAGTTCCTTATCCATAAGCAGTGGGGCTGAAGTGGAGAATGGTTCTGAGTTGCTTTTCACTGTGAAGTTTTTGTTTAGGTATGCCAGGCTCTTATTCAAGTCTTTAAGGGTGCAAGCCTGTCTTTCCTTCCCTTCTCATGCGCAGAGTTTGAGGAGGTCTACTGCTCACAGAAATAGCCATTAGTTTTGTTTGCTGAGGAAGTGATAACCCCAACCCTCAGATTCCAGCCCAGCCCTGCCCTGCATAGGTAGCTGGTTGGTGTTTACTTGTCTATAACTTTTTTTTTTTTTTTTTTTTTTTTTTTTTGGTACTGAGGATCAAAGTCATGATCTTGTGCTTTCCAGGCAGGTGCTTGTGCCGCTGAGCTAAACCCCTAGCTTGTCTATAATTCTTTTATGGGTGAGGTGGCATAGGGGCCAAGGTCAAGCCAAAAGGCAGTCCGACTTTTCTAGGTAGTAGGGGAAACAGGCTCCAGATGGGGAGCACTTTTTTGTGGTGGTGGCATATGCCTGCAATCCTAGCATGGGGGTGGCTGAGGCAGGAGGATATTCATGAATTCAAGGATAGCCTGGGCTACACAGTGAGTTAAGGCCAGCCTGAACTACATAGCGAGAAAAAACAAACAAAAAAGGTAAAGACCTTTTTTTTTCCTGGATTATACCTTCTGTACCTTTTGCTCCAGGCAAAGAGGTATAGGATGGTATAGGAGATATAGGATGTCTGTCCTGGGATTCTTCCACCTAAGCATTCTTCCCCAATGCAGTGGCGGGGAAGGAGGATCACATGTCCCTTTCAATTTCTCAGTGGCTCTGAGTGCAAACTGGTTATGTCATGTGGGAAACCCACATGACTGACCCCCACCTGCCCAGAGGGACACATACAGTAGATGCCAGTAGTCCGTGTGGGTTGTCCTGGTAAGGCCCAGCCCTCAGCAGGCAGCTATCTACAGTGTGGGCCCCAGCAGGGGCACATCCTTCTTCACCTGCACTGGCCGCTGCTGCCACATTCTCCTCACTGCATGGTTCAGTTCCTGTCATTAGACACCTGCTCCTGTGTACTGTGCTAAACTTGGCCTGGAGGATCCTGTGTGCCTAACCTGTCTCTTGCCCTCTAAAATATTCTTCTGCCATGTTTTCAAGGGGCAGGGGAGGAAAGCACTCAAGCTATGCAGAGAATAAGGAGCTCTCTGAAAAAGCCCAAGGGGACCATGAGCTCAGTGCTCGTCTTGGCACATGAGCTGACCATGCAGGTCAAACGTCTATGAATTTGTGCTTGAGGGCCACGAGGTTTGCACCAACTAGTTCTTCTTGACTATTATTTAACAGTAATGATCTTATTTTTCTTAATTCACCAGAAAGCTTGCCATGTTTCAGTATTTAGTATTCCAAAAAGTGAGTTTTATCTTGCATTTCTTCTTTACCAAGGTTACGTGACTCACTGTAGGAAAGGACCTATTGCTAATTGTGGCAGATACATCACAAAATCACCACTGTTCTTTTATAAAAAAGCAATTTGCAAAGCATAAAGCAGAATAAATAAGTTATACTGTGTGTTAAATTCCTGAATTTAAAACTAGTTGGAACTTAGAAGCCTTCTGACTTCTGTTCTGTGGTCTCTACCCAAACAGCTGTGCCTGTGGGCCTGAGGTTCTGTGAATTTGAAAAAGAAGAAACTGCTAGAGGGTCCCACACATTTTAAGGCTATTAAGTTATTTAATGCTAATTTCCTAATTTTTAGATTCTTAAAATGTGTCTTTGTACGAGTGTGTGATACGTATCAGAAAACCAGCACAGGAAGTACTTTAAAATTGGTTATTTTCCCTCATAACATGAATATCAAGGTTCTTACTTATTTCTCTATAGTTTGTCTTTATTAAAAATTTATATCAAACTAATAAACCACTAGCCATTCAGTTCCATATGTGCACCTGTGGTTGTTTAGTGGCGATGGCCCTGACTGCCCACACGAGGTAGCACAAGGCCAGATGGTCCCAGTTGCCCTGCCTCTGTCCCCATGGACCCATGACCTCGCGTGGCCTGCGCCTGCCCCAACCCCAGGGGAGCGCCTCAGCATCACAGAACTTCCTGGGTTCCTGCACCTTGCCAGGCTGAGCAGCCCCTCTCACAACTTTCTGGAAGCCTCCAACTACTCCACTCATACAGTGATGCTCCTGTGGCCCAGTGCTACCCCTGTGCTGGTGCTGGGTGTGTCTGCTGTGGCTGTGCTGGGCCAGCACAGTGCATCTTCTGGCCCTGTAGGCCCATACATGTGGCCATGGAACCTGAGGTGGTGGCAGCATGTTTAACAGGTACTTGGTGCTGACCTGATGCTGTGTGACAAGCTCTGGGGGCCAAGCTTTTCCTGGATGTGTGAACACCTCAACTATCTGCTGCCCAGGGACTCTGACTCCAGAAGGGGCTTCTTGCCCACTCCCTTCTGAGGGCCTTCTGACCCTAAGTCTAAGGTCACTGCACCATTTCAACTGCTATGACTCCACTTGGTCAAAAAAGAAAACACAAAAGGCTGGGTATGGTGGTACACTCCTGCAGTTCCAGCTTTAGGCAAGCTGAGGCAGGAAGATCACTTGAACTCAGAAGTTAGTGATCATCTGAGACAAAATAGTGAGAGCCCATCTTTAAAAAAAAAAAATCTAGGAACCCAGTCCTGATGGTGCCAGTGAGATGGACCAGCAAAGGGACTCATGGGCCATGGGGTGCCAAAGGTCAGCCATGCAGGGACTGGGGCACTGAGGAGGGTAGGACCCCTGACTGGAAGGAACTCACACTTATGCCAGTCCCCACCTGGGCTCTCTGCACTGTTTATGCTCCTAAGAAGCAGAGTTCACTACCTGCCTGCCTGACACCATGCTCCACAGCTGTCTAGGCTTTGTGGTTCCTTAGCTGGGTCACAGTTCATTTATCTTTTCTACTGGGGTAAGGATTTGGAAGTTTCTAACCTCAGGCTTGTGGATACCTGGTGTTGCTACAGGTCCCCTCAGCTGGCCTGTCTACCATAGCAGTTGACACTGCCTCTGGGCTCCAGGACATTCTGGAATGAAGCCAGTGGCTCCTGACAGGCGGTGGCGATGTGGGTGAGGGCACCTATCAGCACTCATGAATCTGGACATGAGATCTGTGCATGTGGCTGTGGGTAGCTGGGATCTGGGTGCTTCATAAAAAGGGGAAGGGAAACACTCACCCTCAAGGCCACTTGCACAGACAAGCTACACCGCCCTCCAAGATGCTGCAAAGAGTAAATAAAGCGCTGCAGCTGCCGCTGTTAGGGGCTGAGCAGAACGGTGTGAGTCAGCTCCACGACAGGCTTGTTTTCAGAGCTCCATCCAGCGGCTGATGGTGCTCAAGAGCAAAGAGAGCAGCACACTGGGTAATTCTGAGCACCCAGCCATGGGACCAGAACAGCATCCACCCGGAAACCCACCATCACACCAAGGATTCCCAAGACACAAATAAAAGGCTTTACATAAAGAAAGGCCTGACTTCCTTTTTCCTTCTCTTTCTTTTTTTTGGTGCCGAAGATAGAACCCAGCATTATTCTACCCCTAACTGACTATATACCTTAAGGTCAGCAACCCTAAGGCCTTTGCGCTACTATATCCATGATGATTTTTAACTTTTGAGACCCAGTCTGCCTAACTAACTAGGTTGCCCAGGCTAGCCTTGAACTTCTGCTCTTGCTTTGGCTTCTTGAGTAGCTAGTACTACTGGCATATGTCACAATCCCCAGTCTGACTTTTAGGTAATTTTCATATAAGTATTTTTGGCAGCAAGCTTTTAAGCATCAAGCTGGACTCCTACCCCTTCCAGCTCCACCAACCTTTCTCCTCCACCGGGTATGGCATAAGGAACTCCATCACTAGGAGTTCCATCACTCCATTCCCTCCCTTGGAGGCAGCTGGGCCAAAAGGAGATAAGGCCACAGGAAGGAAGAGATAGGAGGTTAGCTTTCTTGTTGCTTGCTTGTCCTGGGGCAGGGGTTCCCAGAGCCTTTCAGACCCTAGGTCTCACAGCCGCTGGTGACCAGGCCCTTGGCGAGGAACACTTTGTCCAGAGCCCGTGAGGAGGCTGAAGTGGTGTCTCAACCCCAGACTCCTGCCAGCAGTGGCAAAGGCCTCACTTGTCCCAGGGTGAGGACTCAACCAGTCTGTGTACAGAGGCTGATGTGTGGGCAGCGAGGGCTGAGGGAGACCCATTTGACAGGGCTTTCACCTCTTTCAGGCAGAGTGGATACTGTCTGTCACACCTGTCCTGGCCTTGGACACTGTAGAAGAAACTACGGACACAGACAAGGCACTGCCACACAATACTTCCATGCAGTGCACTTGCAGTGCACAGAGATACCAGTGCTCTGGTGTCTCGAGCCCCGGCTGCACCCCCCTATAATCCAGCACTCAGAGAGGCTGAAGCAGCAGGATCATAAGTTCAAGTCTCAACAGGCCAACTTAGCAAGACCCTGCTCAAAAATAATTTAAAAAGCCAAGATGTGGTAGAGTGCCTCCATGTTCCATCTCCAGGGCCACAAAAACAAGTTGGGGGGAGGGAGGGTGCTTTTTCTCACAGGCTCCTAATTGTGAAGGAGAAGCACCAGGCAGTTAAACCTCACCTCGATTATTAGGACAGCTGGCATCACATGTCTGGTGTGATGTGATGCCATGTGGGAAGTGTCACTTCTGTGGTTCTCAGCTACCTGTTGAGCAGATCCAGCCCAGGGAACTTAGTGGGAGGGGTGGGGTGACCCCTAGACCTTCGGCAGGTAAGTCATGGGCCACCAATAACCTGTATGGTGTGGAAGTGCGGGTCAGAGGAGCCTGTGCCATTGCACACAGTAAGGAAGATGAGATGGAGGGCCGAGTAGTAATAGGCGGGAACAGCACCAAAAATATAGCTAGGAAGCAGGAAGGAAATGGATGTGGGTGTAGAGATGACAGCCAAGGAGGGCAGAGGAACAAAGACCCTGGGTGGAGAAGCACTGGACCCAGAGCCGAAGAGTTCTTGGCACAACCTGACATGCTAAGCTGGATCCATGCTGGCCTTCCAATTCCCAGACCACATTCCAGACTCCCTGTTTGCAGGGCTCCCAGACTCCTGCCTTGATTTCAACATGAGTCTATATCAGGAAACCCTTCCTAACTAACCACTGCTCAGATCGAGTTGAGTGCGATTATAAAGACACCTACCCATCTGCAATGGGGCAGCTCTGCAATCTGTGAACAACTATTGTTGGGCTTACTCAATCACTGAGCCCAGCAAGCTAGTTATTTCTTGCAGAGGTGTTTTAATGACAAATTTAATTTTACTGTTACATGACTGATTAAGCTTTCTATCTTGGGTTAGTCTTGGCAATCCCTATCTAGCAAAGAGCATGTCCCTTACTGGCATGCAGTTATGTTACCACGAGATGAGCAGAAGCACCTTTGACTTCTTTCATTCAAACTCCAAAATAAACCAAATATCACCACCGACAACCATATTCAAAGGCATTTTTGAGCAGCACCTGCTCCTCATTCCCCTCTACTTTTCCATTCCCAGATGGGCTGCTGCGAGCATCAGATGTGCTGAGACACACAGAACCCACACTACACACATGCAGAGCCTATGCCATACAAATGCATGACCCATACCGAATACATGACGAACATGCAGAGCCCATGCCATGGACATGCTGAACTCACACTGTAGACACATCAAGCTTTACTGGTATATATAGTCTACACCACAGATGCGCAGAACCCACACCATGAATGTACACAGACCATGCTAAAGATACACCAAGCCTGTACCACAGATGAGCACAGGCCACACCGTGGATGTATACACATGACAAACCAGGCCTATACTACAAGATGCAACACAGACACACTGAATTCATGCCACAGGGCTGGCCTTCCATAGCAGGTAGGAAATGAAGCCACCTCATCACTACCTTTTTATCATTCCCCAAACACAGGCCTTCTGTGTCCTTTCATTTCTTCAGCTATGTCCCTCAAGATGATCTTCTCTATGACCACTGAGCATGAATGTTACTGCCACTGCCCTTTAACAGGAGGGAGTCAAGGCCAGGGAGATGCTGCACCTGGCCTCATGTCTTCACTCTTCATTCAGGCTGTGCCTGGATTCAGGCTGATTTGCCTAAGGCCAGGCAAGACAGAGCTGCACAAGGCATAGCATGGCTTCACCAGACAGGAGTACCAACAGAGAGCACACCAGGTATCACACAGGTTCCTGCTGTGCCTGGACTATATTGGCCACAACAGCTTATATTTATGGCCCTGGAGCTGAGGTGCCCATGGCCAGCAGGAGGACTGTCACAGAACAGAGGCCTCCTTGGCCCTGGGCAGGGGAACTGAGGTGTATACTTATTTCTTGCCCTAACAGAAGAACCAACGCAGGTGAGGCCAGCAGCTTGTGGTCTCTCCAAGAGCTCAGAATCCTATGCAGGCAAAAGAGCCACAGGGAAAACCACTTTTGCTTTGCCATAGCAAGGACAAACTCCCAGCGCTTCAGCTCATGAGACCAGAGGCAGGACAGACCCTCTTGACTAATCTTGGACCTCCCTAAAGCTTGTGGAACAACAAACAAAAAAACCAGTAGGGTCTCTCACATCAGCATCTGTCCCAAAGCAGCCATGACACCAAGCACTTGCCCATCATGGGCCAGAGGATGGACTCCAGGAGAGGAGGCCAGCACAGGGTCCATTCATTCCACAAGGGACAGGGTGTGGTATCTGGAGGACCCGCTCCAGAACAGAAGCTGGTGCCCTCTCTCCACATGAGGGCAACTGTCTGTCAAGGAGAGGCGGCTGTTTTGCCATAGTGCCTAAGCAAGTGGATGGCTAGGCCAGGCCCCAGGGCCCTTTCACCTTAGTGCCCTGCTAAGACCTGGGGGAAGGCCCAGGAGTCGG